TATTAGTTTTGTTACAAAACCTTTTTTGTAACTTTATTATTAATTCAAATTGAATGATCCATTCATAAAAAAAAAATAAAGCTATACCTTTCCATGAATGTTGCAGGACTTAAAAATTGGATTATAGTTTGTTGACCATATTGCTGTGTTTGGTAAAAGGTGCTTGTGTTCTAATATATGAGGCAGGTGAAAAGAATGACATGAAACATGGAGACATGCTGATGTGGTTTTAATATTATTGATTGTTTAAATGCAATTTCAGTGAAAGTATATATATTTACCGCCTAATAATTGGTGTTTCCCTACTTTTCATCAGACCAAGATTTTTTTTTTTTAACTGCGATATAAAGAAAGCCTTTAAATGGGTTCAGTTGAGTTTTTTCCCTGCACAGTTATTCATGCAGTGCTAGTTGCAAAGTTGCCGCTTCAGTCATTTGAAATTCAATCATACTTAGCAGAACTAGGAGAAGCAGCAGCATGCATTGATGAAATAATGAAAAAGTTGTTTTTTGCTGCTGGATTGGTGAGGGAGCAGGTTATGAAAAATGAATTACTCTATTGAAATAGTCTGTTTGATGAACATCACAAGCAACAAAGCCTTTACTTTTTTATTCCCTTCACACATTTTCAAAACCGTCTACAGACAAATACTCTACTGACTGATACATTTGTCTAAGAAAAACATATTTGAATTCCATGTTTGTGCAAATTCAAGCAATAATTCATTAAAGCTAGTCTGAAAGCATAACAGTTATAGTTTCTTGACAGTGACAGTTTTGCAGTTTTGATGAACCCTGACTGTGTAGAGTCGGCTGGTTTGTTTGGGGAATAATTATGAAGCAAACAGAGCAAACCAGCTGACAGGTTTCACAGTAAAGTCCCATTTCACACTTGTAAAACAAGATCAGTTATAATTCCATAATCATGCATCACCTCAGTACAGATGACTCAGATTCGATGACTGCAATCCAAAGTAAAATTATACACATCTTTATGTTTTTCTTAGAAGTACTGGTAAGTTAGTCATTATTGAAAAAGTGACTAATGAATACTCCTCCACCCCCAAATCTTCTGTAGTAGTGACATACCTATATGGTGGTCGGAAGCGCTTTTATTCTCAGAATATATCAAATTAAGGGGCACTGCTATAAATACTTTCCAGAAACACATACGATTTAAAATTTCCCCACCATATATTTTCCCCTTCCTTTAATTAAAATGCCAGTGTCAATGCTAAAGCCTCTCCTCATAATAATGATGTCAAGAAATGTCTTCATAATGTGATTAAAAAGAAGTCTGCACAAATGCTCTGTTTGTAAATCCTCAAACCTCAGGCAGCTGTTATAATCCTTGAGTGCAGCTAGGAAGCGAGTTGCACACCAACATTCACCTGACTGTAGGACAGAAGTAATGATGAACTGAACTGAACTGTACAAATTAACTATGATGGAGAGTCACTTGTATTAGCAACAATTATTCAGTATTTACAAGGTTGTAAGTGAGGTTTAGAATGTGTTCGACAAGTGTTGATTATTCACCAAAGTGTTTCTCGTTCAACCATTTACACACTTGCAATCTATTACATAATCGCACTGTGTGGCTACATATTTTTATTCTTGTTTCATAAGCCACTTAAAAAATATGGTCTTGTCAAAATCAATTGTCTGATTGGAAAACATATTAACCAAAGAGCTACTGTTACGTCCATTAAGTTCAAGTTCAAGTTAATTTTATTGTCATTTCTATCACAAGTGGTACATGAAGTGGAACAAAATCATATTCACAGGGTCCCAGTTACACCCAAAAATAGCAAAAATTAAGAATGAGAGCTTTTATTGTCTTCATACATGAAAGTTTGTCATGGAGTTCCTCAGGGTTCAATACTTGGTCCAATACTCTTTACCTTATTCAGTATACATGTATGTTCCCATTAGGTAAAGTTATTACACAGCATGGGATACATTTTCATTGTTATGTTGATGATACACAGTTATATTTGTTCATGAAACTCATTGAATCCAATCAGGGATTCTGATGAGATGATTTCCGTTGTGACTTGGCGCTGTATAAATAAATTTAATTTAATTTAATTTAATTTTTATTAACAGAAAAGGCAGTTTTGACTAATTTAGAAAAAATATGAATGCATAAATAAATAAATAAGTAAAAGTACAAATATGTACACTAATTTGAATGCAAATGTCCTTTTTTAGTTATAAATTTTTGATTGTTGTGTTAAGAACAAAGTTGTAATGCTGTGTTCAAAAATAAACATTTTTGTTTAGACATACAGTAATTTTCATGTTCAAAGTAAATTTTCAAAACATAAATGCAAATGATTGTGCATGCACTAAGTATGCCATCTAACAAAAGCATTACCGTAAATAAGTTGTTAGGGTACCATTAAAAACAAAGTACTTTGTCTACCTGACAAAAAGTAAAAATCCAATTTCTCCAGGCAACCTTTGCAGTCTCTGCAATGCACTGCCTCACAGAGCCATCAGTGGACTTTCTGCTTCAGGCAGTTTGTGTCAAAGTCAGCTGCTTGCAATTATCTGCCATCCTCCACCACCGGAGGAAACACTATGGCCTCAATGTCAATCAAAAGACTCAGCTCACGAAGACATTTTAGGACCTTTGACACAAACCGTTCAGTTCAGTATATATTCTCCCATCCACAGTGTCAGTACCAGCACACACTTACTGTACCCAGTGCTGTCATGAACTGATGATTTTCTGGCTTTAAAGGACTCGGTTAGTCACAGGAGGCTGTTCTGCTTGGCTTGGCTTTATTCTTTCTGGTTTGTTCTCCCTCTGAAAGAAATACAGCTAAGAATCATGGACTTAAATACAGCTGGAAAAGAACAACTTTGGCAAGTCATTGCATGTGGGTTTTACAGTCATGACATGAAACACATCTGTAGCAACAGTGACGTGTGTGAGGAGTAATGGCACCTAGAAGTGTTGAAATGTATCTAAACAAGGACAGGAAATAAATATACAACTAGTAATTTTCTTTCAGCTGCTCCCTTCTTCAGGGGTCAACACAGTGAGTGAATGCGCATGAAAGATTTGGCAATTTGTTTTATGCCGGATGTTCTTCCAGACATCCTAGACTCTAACCCGCAACCTAAGGATTGCAAGACCATGGCACAGATCACCGAGCTACTGCAGTCCCAGAAAAATACTAGCTATAATGTATTAAAATACTACCTAAAGCTAAAAGGCTAGCTTGAAGTTAAGTTTAGCAAAAATATGGCTAAAAGTAGCATTATCCAACAAAGAAACAATTATTTTACTTATTCCCAACTCAACTCACACCCGACTCCTTTGGAATAAATCTATACGAGCAGAAATAAAAATAACCTTTATGTACTTATAACACTAAAAATAATTTGTACCTGCTATTTGATGTAATTTAGATTAATAAACAATAATTAATGATTTGCTGTCTGGTTGTTGTAAAGCTTAAAAATAGGACTTTGACTAGGATAAATGAACAATCAGCTCTAACACTGCTGGTTGAAGTCAAACTCATTTGGATTTACATTGAAAAGATTATTAATAATTGAAAAGATTTGTATTGAAATTAATCAAACACTCTTTTGCAAGTTTTATTTTTTTAAAAAAAAGAATAAAGGGACCTACCTGTGCATTTCAAGACTGGAGGAAATTTCATTATGTTATTTATTATATATTTTATATATTCAATATTTTGGTTTTGATAGCAATGATTA